TTTCTTTTCTTTCCTTTTCACAAGGTTGTAAACTGTATGACACAACATCGAATGTCATGAGCTTTAGTTCATCTTGGGTCAACTTCTCTAGAAAAAAAAATAATAATAAACCAAACTGAAGGTTCTTGTTTGAGTAATGTGTTAAAAGAATGTCCTTTGTTGACCCTGAGAATAAAATAAATAAAAAGAGAGATAAGTCAAAGAGGTAGATTTATTGAATTCTTAACTCAGAGAGAATTCTGGATGGTGAAAGACTTCAGAGAATGGCCCCATCTTGAGATACCGTGGCCTCTGTATCCCACTGCAGTTAACCATGATTATAGGTTTCTAAGAAGGCCACCATAACAACCCAGGTCAGAGCAATTCTCAGAGAAATGGAATGAGTATCACGAGACCTGGAGGATGAGTACCACAGTTTAGAAAAGGGGATCTGGAGGAATTCTAGTTATCCATGCTAAACATGGCATCTGACGTGGATGAGAAACAATAAATAGACCTGCACTGTCTAGAGTCCAATAAAAAAAATGGATTTTCCCACCCACTGTAATTTATTTATTTTATTGTTCATTTATTGTTTGATATTTCATATTTAGTTTTTTAGACACATATAGCCAAAGATGGCATTAACTGGAGTTGTAAATGGGCATAAAACATCCAGAATGTCATAAAACAATCACTTTGAACTATTAGAAAGAGTATTGAAAAGTCATGGAGAGAAATTCTGTGGAAATGTCATTCAATGATTTATTTCTTGAGTTTTTTTCAATATAGAAAAATTATAAGTTACATTGATCATTTGGAGTGGTTAAAGAAGAAACCATTGATATGAACAAAGGAAACACTGATGTAAATCCCTTTTAATTCTGAGAAAATCCTCTGACTGAAATGTATTGCCAACATTTTGAACCATTTGTGCTATTTTTGAACCAATGTCAAGCTCAGAGAACTTTCAACTAAGATGTAGAGACATTTGGTCAACCCCCCTCCCCTTTTCCTTTTAGAAACATGTTGCTAACCGCAGGTTCTGACCTTCTGGATGATGTGTACCTATTAAAATAAGCATAATCTGCTACAAGCTGCAATACAACTATGAAAACCAGGAGGATATTGATCTGAGTATGGTGGCATATACCTGTAATCCTTGCACAGTTCCTGCAACTTCAAGGTCAGCCTTGGCTTCAATGAGGGTAGCCTGGGCTACACAGAGAGACGCTGTCTCACACACATTTTAAAAATCAGGATGTTCGATTTAAAACATGACTATGATCAAAGCCTCTGACTCTCTCAGGTTCCAGTGATTGTCTCATTGACATCATTAGCAGGAAGAATTCAGTTCAGAGCCACACGGTTTTCAGTTGTCACATCTCTTGAATTTTCAAAATTTAAAAAAAAAAAAGTTCTTCAACTTTCCCTTGACTTCACTGGCTTAACAGTTCTAAGAGCTAGTTACCCTCTGCATTTCCTCCAGTTTGGGTTTGCCTGGTAGCTCTGTGTACTAGATTCAGGTAGTGCATTTCAGGCAAGATGACCCTGGAAGTGAGGCTGGGTTGTTCAGGAAGAGAGGCTGGGCTGTTCTGTGGTGGTCTAGCCGATAGCAAGAGGTTTCTGATCATCACCACCGAAGTTGTTGCTTTTGACTAGCATCTCAATTATCCCAGTATACAGTTACTCTTATAAAAATGTGTCATCAAAGATCTCCTTAGTAAACTGGGGGTGGAGGTGAGGGCAATAGAGGGTAGGGTATGTAGGATGAGCACATAAGGGAACAGATGGTTGAGCTGGAACAGGGACCGAGTGGGAGAGCAATGAAAGAGATACCTTGATAGAGGGAGACATCATGGGGATAGGGAGAAACCTGGTGCTAGAGAAGTTCCCAGGAATCCACAAGGATGATCCTAGCTTAGACTACTAGCAATAGTGGAGAGGGTGCCTGAGCTGGCCTAGCCCAGTAATCAGATTGGTGAATACCCTAACTGTCATCATAGAGCCTTCATCCAGTAACTGATGGAAGCAGATGCTGAGATCCACAGCCAAGTACCAGGCTAAGCTCCAGGAGCCCAGTCAAAGAGAGGGACAAGGGAGTCTATGACCTAGGGGCGTCAAGATCATGATGGGGAAATCTACAGAGACAACCGAACCAAGCTAGGGGAACTCATGAACTTTAAGCCAACAACGTGGAGCCTACATGGAACTAGAATAGGCCCTCTGCATGCACAGCCTTGACGCAGCGGGGAGGGGCTTGGACTTGCCCCTACTGAATGTACCAGGCTTTGCTGTACCCCCATGGGAAGCCTTACCTTTTGGGAGGAGGGCACGGGGAGTGGGTTATTGGGGGGAGGCTAGAGTGGGGAGTGGGAGAAGGGATGAGAGGGGGATCTGTGCTTGGTATGTAAGATGAATAAAAAAATTCTTAAAAAAGAAAAAATATGTAGTACAAAAAATGTCGTCAAGTTGTGCATTTTTTTTATAAAGTTGGCTTTCTAGGAATCCTAATATACACGTACTCTTATAAAAATGTGTCATCAAGTTGTATTTCTTTTTATAAAATAGACTTTCTAGGAAATACATAGGTGAAGAAATTGGCAAGGTTACATTAGTTACTATAGTTGAAAGTATGTGAGCACATATATGTGTGTGGTTCCAGACACACACACACACACACACACACACACACACACACACACACACACAGTGATCTTTCACATGTTCATCTCATTCACTTCCACTGAGTGTGACATAAAGGGCACAAGGCAAATGACCCCAGTTCAGACATCAACTCAAGGAATTTTAGGCAAGTTTAATAACTGTGTGGTTGTGTTCCTTCACAGGGATATTCAGAAGAATAATTGAAATACAAAGACCAGTGTTGCCCTGAGGTGCTCTACAGCCCCACAAAAATAAACGGTACTGTCAAGTTTTGAACAAATATGATTTTCTATGCTGGGCCCTGCAGTCCCCTCCTGGTTCCTAATGCATACGTGCGGCTTCACTGCAGAGTACCGGCCTGTGCTCAACCCCTTCGGAGATGTTCTTCCCTGGATGCTTTCGGGTCACATCTTTGCTTTCCTGTCACTTTTACAACGTGACTCTCCAAGGCCCATTTAAAGTCATCCAAGTCCAACACCTCTCATCTCTTTTCCATTCTTTACGTCTCCCTCTCTGACATACTTGGCTTGTTTATTGTTGGTTAATAAAACTAAGTTTGGTCCAGATCCGAAGCATCCCACCAAAGGGCTCCCATAAAAGGATGGTTTGCAGCTGGTGGTACTATTTTTGGAGGTTCTGGAAATGTTAGGAGGAGGGGGCTGGGTGGATGAATGAGGTCACTGGAAGTGTGTCCTTGGGGACTGTATCATGTTCTGGGAGCCTTCCTGTCACCTCTCTGCCAGGAGGTAAAAGCCCTTTTGATTGACATGCTCCTGACACGATGATATTCCAACAACCCAACGATCAACCAAGAGTCTAAGCCAATCCTTCATTCTTTAAACCATGTGTGGCAGGTATTTTGCATAGTGATAAGAAAAGTAGCTGATACATCTCTCAAGTCCTCCAGGAAGGTACTTTTCCCAGTGTTAATCAATACTAGGCCTCCCAGACCCTGCAGCATGCCAAGAGGTATGGTGGCCATTCATTTGCCTTTTGCATGGATCAATTTTTAAAAACTATCCACCCTTGAGTGTTTTCTTTATAACTCTTTTCCTTTGATCATAGGAAAGCATATGAAAGGAAAAAGAATTATAGAACAAAAGAACAGAGCTTAAAGTGAACTCAAAGAAAAATTAATAGAGAGCCGAGGAAGCAGAGGGAGACAGTATGTTTGGAAGGTGGTCTTTGAAGCATACAGGCCAGCTGCTCCTGAAACCAGGGCCTTGCAGCAGAGGCTGTCCCTGAGCACTGACTCAAGCCAGACACAGCCCTCGCCACTGCCCTGGGGTCAGCTATTTCGGTTGGGTAAGGAGTCCAGGATAACATCATCAGAGTAAAGAACTACATTAGAAGTTGTTACACATTTTTATGCAAACGAATATAAATTAATGCTACTTACTGAACAAAATATGTACACTTTCCCTTTGAAGAACAAAAAAAACAATTAAGAGGTCAGTTTCACAGGGCTTCAACAGTTAAGAGCACATACTGCTCATTCAGAGGATCCAAGTTCTATTCCCAGCATTCATGTTAAGTGGCTCACAACCACTTGTAACTCTGGCTGCATGCGATCCAACACCTCTGGCCTCTGTGGGCACCTGTGTTTATGTACACATACCCCCCCACACACACACACATAATTAAATTAAAAATAAATCTTGAAGCCGGGCGGTGGTGGCGCACGCCTTTAATCCCAGCACTCGGGAGGCAGAGGCAGGCGGATCTCTGTGAGTTCGAGGCCAGCCTGGTCTCCAAAGTGAGTTCCAGGAAAGGCACAAAGCTACACAGAGAAACCCTGTCTCAAAAAACCAAAAAAAAAAAAAAAAAAAAAAAAATCTTGAAGAACATTGTAATTTCCATATTTGCATTGCTTGAAATTAGTAAATCTGAAAACCTTTCATAGTAAAAGTAAAACATTTCCTTGAAAAAGTAACAAGCACCAGGGAGATGATTCAGAGGGTAAAGTGTTCACTACAGAAGCATAAAGAGGTGTGTTTTGGTCCCCACGTGAAGCCAGCCTTGGCAGTGTGCATCTGTAAACCCAGCACCCTATGGTACAATGGAGCAGAGACAGGTCAGGCCCTGGAAACTCATTGGTAGCTGCCTAGCATACATAGCTACCAACAGCAAAGAAACTTTGTCTCAAACAATGTGGAAAGCAAGGACTTACACTGAGTTGTCCTCTGACCTCCACGCATACTTCATGGTATGAGCATATCTGTAATCACACACACACACACACACACACACACACACACACACACACACACACACGCACGCACGCCATACACAGCACACTCATACAGAAAGATTTTTAAAAGATAGTAAAAAGAAAGATTGACTCAGGTCACTCATGGTAGTTTGTACATCAAAGTTTTTTATTTCATATGTGTACATATGAATCTTAAATAAAAAATAGTGTTGTGTCATGGCATGAACAAATCTAGTTTGTGAATAACATTCACACACAATGGGAAGCCTTACTTACTGAGCTAAACTATTAAATATTTTAAAAAGAAAACCACATTTATATATATATATATATGTATGTATAAGTACAGGTAAAAAAAAGGTTGGTGAGGAATGTTTAAAATACAGTATAAATCCATATGCTTATGTCAGAAAGTTCATACTGACACAAACTGTTGCTAAGAATTACATAACCAACACCATTTTCCACCCAACATGAAGCGAAATCACTGTAACTCTGAGTGCTAGCCAGTCTCTTATGCTCAGTAAGACCACCTCTAAATTGCTCTTGACTCCAATTGTCATGGAATCCAAACGGCTTGATCTTTCCAGCACACAGACTACGCCTTGGGTTTACTTAGGAACTCCTTGTTGAAGAATTTTCTTGCCTCGACATTACTCAGGGAAACAGAGCAACGAGATGGGTTCTGTCTTCTGTATTCAATGCTCTCAACAATGGCATCCTTTATCACCTGTCAGTGGAAACAGAAAATAAATGGTGAGCACAGCTTTACATCCCTGAAGCATTCGCTGAAGGAAAACAAAGGTCTGGTTCTCTTGTATTATTGTCTCTGTTTTGAAATTTACTGACAAAAGTATGATTCTTTTGGACACATGTCAATGCAAGATCTCATTATTACATTTTTGTGAAGAAGTACTTTAGGAGTGTTCCAGATGAAGAATGAGATAATTGCCAACAAGGTAAGTTTATGTTCCATCTAGCCTTCACTAGGAAGTGATAATATAGAAGGAAATACAAAATTTATAATTGGGGTTTTTAAAGTTAAGGAAGTAATAGGAGACCACAGAGAAGGAAGATGCCCCCTAGTAGAGAGAGAAGACATTGCTCTCCAGGAAATTCTCCATTTACCTGAGTCTCACCAACAACTAGAGAACAAGTGTCCTCAAACTAAAAACCACCAAACTTAGGACTTTCCTCATGAAAATAAATCGCTATTTTCCATCCAGAGTTATCTCATGTTTCTCCAAGCTAATGATGATCAGAGGTACTATACATTGTTTCTGGTATGAAATTAACCTTGTTAGGAATTTTAGGAGAAAACGAAACTTGGATTTGATCACCATTACGGCAGAGTTGGGGAAATGCTTTGGGAAGTTGCATGCTCATTAGAAAGTCCCCTTTATTCTCCACGCCAGGGACTGTTACATAAGCTTGAAGCACTGACCATATGTTTTCAGCTCTACACTGTGAGTAGGAATGTTTGGCAAGTCCAGAAAGCTTAGGACCCATGTGACCTCTCCTCCCACTTAGGATTCACATGGCTCATCTCGCCACAGAGGCATACACAGAGAGCTTTTTCCAGTACAAGCTCACTGAGCAAGTATGCTCCAGTGCCTAGAACAGAGAGATAGGAGAGCTAAGTTATGAGCATAGAGTCCGCCTCCAGCAACTTCTTATCACACCCATTGGCAGGAACCTTTATTTCTTCCAGAGTGGCTAACAAAATGAGAAATATGTCATCATGTTACCAAAACAAGCAACAACAACAAAAAGAATTTATCACAAAAATTTGAGTCTTTCGTATGGTTAAAGAAATGAGTCGTCTCTGCTAGTGGAAACAGACTCAACTGTTACTGAGACTTTTAAGTAGGGGTTTATGCAGAGCCCATTTTCCTATGAGCAAGGGAGACATAATTAATTCTGTACTTTAGATCTGTTGAAAAAGACTTGGGTCAGAGGCCTCCTTGGTGCAGTCCTGCCCAGGCTATGGGAAAGAGATGGAAATTAGCCTAAATTCTTGAGATTATTTCTTCTTTAAAGATGTTACACATTTATATTTTATGTGTGTGAGTATTTGCCTGCATGCAAGCGCACCATGTGCATGCAGTGCCTGTGGAGTCCCGAAGAGGGAGTTGGATCCCTTGTAAATATTTCTAGACAGTGCAAGTTTCCACATGGGTGCTGGGAACCAAACCTGGGTCATCTTCAAGAACAGCAAGCACTTTTAACTACTGAGCCATCTCTCCAGTCCCTCTTTCTTTGTCTTTAAGACAGGAGTAACATTATTAATCTTGGATTGCTGGGAACTGGAGACCATCAGTATAAAGTTCTGTGGACAGTGATTGGCACACAGAAAGATCCTGCAACAGACATGTGTCCACACTGTTGCTTATAAACTGTGTGTGATACAAGTTAGGAGGCTACTGAATGAAAACAAACAAAAAAAAGAAAAGAAAAGAAAAAACCAAAGGAAAGGAATATGACTGCTCCTAGGTATGTATGGTGGAGGAGAAACTTTACTGTAGATATGTGTGAACGCATAGCCAGAGGCAGAGACATCAGGGAGAGTCCAGAGTGGAGCCATGTAAGGAGGGGAGGAAGGGTCGGGAAAGGAGAGAGGGAGGAACCAGGTGGAGCAGCCAGGAGGCCCACGAGTATGAAAAAGGCAGGGTAACCAAAAATGGCTGGAATATACAGGGAAGAGCAGCCCAGCCCCCTGTGCTGGAGAGTTCAGCGGAGGGGGAGGGGTCTGCCAGCCATACCTTCTAACTGGACGGGACTGAGAGATGCTGGGAGAACCTGGCAGCCAGGTCTGCTTTGATACGTTAAATAAGCAACTCAGCAATTTGTCCAGGGTTTCAGCACCAGGTGAATAAGAAAGAGAGAGAGGGAGAGAGGGAGGGAGGGAAGGAGGGAGGGAAGGAGGGAGAGAGAGGGAGAGAGAGAGAGAGAGAGAGAGAGAGAGGGAGGGAGGGAGGGAGGGAGGAAGGAAGGAAGGAAGGAAGGAAGGAAGGAAGGAAGGAAGGAAGGAAGGAAGGAAGGAAGGAAGGAAGGAAGGAAGGAAGGAAAATAAGGGAAAGGAGGGGAGGTAAAGGGAAGGGAAATTCTTATAAAGGAGAATCAACATTTACATTTATAACTGAAAACCCCAAATCATTTGGGATAAGAATGTGCAAGTTGAACCACTAGGTGGCACCATCACACTATGAAACCACTGAACAGGCTTCTCATCCCTAGGAACACAGCCTAATGAACCCTGGGAGCAGGATGCTGCCATGCACACAAAAACTCAGTATGAAATCACTTGCTAGCTGTAAAGCTTTTTGGATGCCACATAGTATATTTAGGTGTGTCTGAGATGTATTATGTCATATCTGTGTCTTTCTAATTTTTGTTTTTACCAGGGGTGATCTTAGAGGGTTTATATAATTGCTTCTTTCCTTCCATGGGATTCCAAATCCTTCCTGTCAGGTTTACTCTAGCAATATCCCATGTACACTGATCTTCTTCACCCTTACTGCTCATTTGGAGTATGATCCAGGCTGTCTTTTACTGCACCATTCGAGAGCTTCCCAATTGTTTAAAACAGTGTTCTTTATTCTTCAGTAATACGGGTAGATAGAGGAGGGGAAAAACGTAAAAATTGGAAAACTTCCTCCCTCCCATCAAAATGAAGGATTCTGGAGGTGTTCAATGGAACTATTTGTAGACAAATGTGGAATGCTTACAGTGTCAAATTAAAATGGCAGCCCAAGGGAGAGAGTTATGGTGTATTCTGAAAAAGTAAATGTTATCAGAATAACAAACAACTGCTATTTTCACTAAAATTACTGTGAGTTTTCGGGCTGATGTCTGCTTTTCCATGAGATCTGAAATATCCTGAAAGTCTTCGTGTTTGAGCCCAGCACTGAGATTATGAAAGGTGCATAACAAATATTTTCTAAATTAATAAATGCCCAGGATAAGCCATGGGGAGAATACAACTGGAGTTAAACACACATGATTTTTAAAGGACAAGGGGGCAGGTGGTTTTCTCTATGAATAACCACACACAACTAAGGATGGAATGCTGTGGCAAAGGGAGACACATGGAAACTGGTTGGCTTGGGTGGAAAAGAAACTGTTTGTGGAACATTAAGAAATAAGGCCACTTGGGAGATAAATGGGTGACAGAGAAAAGAGTGGGAAAGATTTATGATCTCAGCCCAGCCCCGACTCCAAAACTGTTGGATCCTCTTGCCTTAGCTTCCTGAGTGATGAGATTGCAATTCTTTTCATGTTATATATCGCCATGACCCTGAGACAGTGCCTGGCACAGCTGATAATAAAGACACATTCAACCAATGTGTACATGAGGTCTGATGAGATCGTGTGGAGCATTAACAGCAAGTGAGTTTGGGGCTGTAGGGGCTCAGAAAATAACACCCTCAAATGACAGCCTCAAAAAGGCCTTGGAAACATGTTCTCCGGTCCCCTGTCCTTTTCCCTACCCCTCCTCAGGCAAGCCAGAGAAACTAGCATCCCTCTTCCATAAAGGGGAGCAGAGAAGTCAGAACGCTTTTTGTCTGAAAGGTCTGGAAGTATTGCTATGACTCCCCACCTTTTGTTTCCTAGAAAAACTCATAAAGAAATTGTCTGCCCTTCTGGGGGCACACCATGAGACCCCTCTCCCTTCAAGATATCCTGTCCCGTAGCCAAAAGGAATGCTACACAGAGACCAGAAAAATTCCAAACAAACAGACCCCTCTGGGTTTCTGTCAGAATTAGACCCTAGCCATTTCAAACAATCATATTTCTATACACTTGTCCATGCATCACAAAACCTGAAATTTTTCTTTAAAAAAAATAGGTAGTCCATTTTAGAACTCTGAATCTTTACTCTGAAGGATCTCATGTTGTATAGAGCTATGCTCAGATAAGTCCATTAGGCTTTTCTCTGGGTGATGTATCTTTTGTCTAGAACGTCGGCCAACAATGAGTATGATGGGCAGGAGGAACCACTCTCTTTCCTCCCCTGCGGGCCTAATAAAATAGGCCAGGATATGCAACAGACTGCAGATTACTGCAGCTATTATATAATTGAAGATTATCTTCTGAATAGTCAGAAACCATAACATGTACCTAGACAGTGTAATTGTACTGAGGAAATGCCATTAAACTAAGAATTAACTACTAGGACTTCTGGTACACTCTTTTCCCCGTTCCGATTAACACCTGATGTTAAACACTGTGGTTGGTTAATGCTGATGGTCATCTTGTCAGGGTCTAGAATCATCTAGGAGATAAATCTGAGCACAGCAATGAGTAGTTAGTCGAGGTGGGAAAAAGCACGTTTTGTGGGGAGTACCATCCCATGCCCTGTAGTCTCAGCGCTTTGGGACTGCCAATGCAATGTGACCAGCTGTGTCGGGTTCCTGCAGCTGTGACTTTCCCACCATGATGGGTGACACCCTCGCTTCAGGAACCAACATAAACGTTTCCTGCTTCTGTCACAATAGAAACGCCTTGTAAAATGATCTGACAAAAAAAACTGAAGCTGATTATTGTGCATACTGGTATGTACCGAACGTAGTGAAGTCTAACAGTATCATAGAATCTGCCTAAACTGGTCTACTGAACTGAGAGCTGAATGAGAATGGAAGATAAGCTGACTTGACAGGTACTGAGAAGGAGTCCTCCAAACACATGTTCCATCCTGACCAACATAGACGTTTATGATTGGACACGCTACCCAGCTGGGCATGTGTTGGGTACAGGCTTCGTGGTCAACAGGCCCATCTCCAACCAGTGACAACTTTTACCCCGACCCTTATTATCTTCAATCAGTCAGTGACTTATAAATTTATGATAAATACATTGCATATTCACTTCAGGTACCAGACATTATGATCGCTATCCCTGGAGTACAGAAAATGAATAAGCCACTATTTTATGGAGTTTATTATTTATAATTATAAGTAGATATGAATATGAAAACTAATAATAATTCTTCATTATATTAGCTGTTGCAATTTCCTTAGTACTTACTTGTATCCTAGATCCTAAAGTTATTTTAACTAAATGCCATCCTAATCCTATAAAATATATCATTGTTTCCCCTTACAAAAGAAGGAAATAATCTACCAGCCCAAGGCCACCAGCTTAGAGACAGCTGAGCAATGACTAAACACTCAATTTTGTCCGAATCCAAAGCCTCCAGATACCACATGCCACATGTCCACCCGTCTGTCATTGGACCTTAAGTTTCTACTAAGGAAACAAAATGTAAATCCCACAAAATTCCACAACTGTAGAAGCACAGAGACAACGCTCATCAAGAAGGAATTTGGGAGGACTGAGTAAGTACAGGAAACTGATGCTAACGACAAAGCCAGACTCCTGTCAAAAAGTGAGCCGAAGCAGAGGTGAAAATGCTCTAAAGGATGTCCCAGAAGAACCATCGACAGGAGTTCCCAGCTGTTAGATACACCGTGGCCTGTTCAGAACAAAACCAGATCAGAAAACAAATTGACGAAATACACCTCAATTCACAGTGGCTCTGGCCTCACGACTGAAAACTGTCTTAAGCTTTAACAGATGAAAGACTTTGCATCCTGTTTTATCACCGTCTCTGCCACCTGGAAACCACTCCGATGATTCACGGGCAGTTTCTTAAGTGCAAGTCCACGTTCACCTCCACTCAGACGGAGTGGGTGGCTTTAACTAACTGAACTTAACGCATTTCCCAGCATCATATGCTCAGCAAAACTTTGTTACTTTTTATGTATCACCCTTACCAGGAATTTTTATGATAAAATGTGGGGGGATTTTTTTTTGGATAAATGATATGCAAGAGGTCACCAAGAAATAAATATCAGTAAAAGTAGAATAACACACACACACACACATATGCACACACATTCTCCCCTTGACTATAAGTCAAAATGGCCATCTAATTTAGGAAAACACCTACATTCATTTATTCAAAACATTCACTCAGAGCCTACAACTGTCATTGTCTGCACAATTTGTTTATAGAGTGAGTCCTTAACACTTTCACACTTCCTTTTGTAGATTTCCCATGCACTTCAGGATGCCAGGAGATTGTCGTGCATAGCTAAGATCTTCACAATTAAGTGGCTTCTGTTTTCAGGATACTATTTAGGCCCTACCTGGTTACGCATTCATAGTCCCATTGCCCCTGTGACAGGTCCTATTGTCCTTGTTTTCAAGATGAAGAATCCAATCCTCCTGAAGTTTGAGTAGTATGTCCAGTTACAAGTGGCCCATGGTGGTTTAAATAAGAATGACTCCCATAGGCTTATATATTATTATATATGCTTGCTCCCCAATTGGCAGAACTATTTGGGAAGGATCAGATTGTGCAGCCTTGATGGAGTAGGTAGTGTCACTGGGGGTGGGCTTTGATGTTTCAAGAGTCCACGCCATCCTGAGATAGACTTCCCTCTTGTGGTTATGTCTCAAGATGCAGGCTCACTCGTAGTCACTGCCCCAATACGATGAGTTTTGCTGCTGCCATGATTCTCCACCATGATGGCCATGGAGACACCCCCTGAAGCCATAAGCCCCAGGAAACTCTTGTCTGACAAGTTGCCTTGGTCATGGTGTCCTATCATAGCAATACAATGCAACTAAGGCAGGCCCTACCTATATTTAAAGAAAACTATAAAAAAAATCATATATTTGTCTCTAAATGTCATGCCACAAATATAAGTGGAAGCTATAAAAAATGTTTGTTTACATAAAGAGGGTAGTTTCACATAGAAACTCACAGTGGTTATGACACCGAACACAAAATCTGTACAAGCTCAACCCAGACAAAAAAAAAAAAAAAAAAAATCCCATCATAGAGGGGTAGAGGTGGTCACAAAGTTCCAACTTCAGCTGAGGAGCTATTGGTAACTGATAGAAGAGTTATTTTTCTTTAAGGATATGACCCCTGTTAAACTGAACACTCTCCACTGAATGGTCACCTACCCAAGAATATATAGGTAACACCAACTAGACTTGATGGGCTAAAAGAAAAAAATGAGTGCATGGAATTGGGGGTGGATCTGGGAGCAGTCTAGGGAGACAGTGAGATAATAAAAATACAATGTAAGAAATTCCAGAATTTCACATATGGCACTATAAATAATGCATTGTTAGTGGTTTGTGAAGAATCAATGTTTATTGGGCTATACTGAAGATGGCTGTTTTGGAGTACAGTCTATTTTTGTTCAGGCTTTAACTTTTTCATGTCTGCGTCAAATAAACTACCTTGAAGAATGCTTGTAAAATATGTAAATAGAACTATACAATTACTTACAGCAAATATTTTAGCAGGTTTAATATAAACAGGAACAGAAAATAGCAAGAGAATGCTATTGTTTAAAATACATATGTGAGTGTGTTTATTCCTAAGTTGGATAGGGGATATTTATAATTCCTACAATTCTAGTTCTTTTCAAATTTAACAGATTTTTACTCCTGAATCTATTAGTTTCAAATCCATTGTCTATTCATTTCAAAACATAAAATTTGAATCTCCTTTGCTCTCCTTTCTTTTAGTCTGATTAAACTTTATAAAATACGACTCTATTTTGGGGGGCTAGAGAGACGGCTGAGAGATTAAGAACACACACACTGCTTTTCCTAAAGACCTGAGTTTAGTTCTGTCCCCTGTGAAAGGCACCCCACAATTGCCTGTGGCTCTAGCTCTGTGGAGATCTGACACCTCTGGCCTCTGGCGGTATCTGCACTCACATACCCACCACCCACAAACATATATAAAAATGAAATCTAAATAAAATAAAATACAACTCTGTTTTGACAATTTCTCTGTGTTCCTTGTGTCAAAATACTCATTTCTCCATTTTCTTTGAATTTTAACCAACACTACAGAAATAAGGTAACATGAGGTTTTTAAATATTTATTCCCCATGTAAGATTTATTCAGCATATGTTAAGGAAAGAATGTGTTGTAACTTTTGGTAAGTATATTATGTATTAATCATCACATACTGGAAAATACAGGCAAAAAAGAAGGAATTTTAGAATTATAAGAACTGAAGTATATTAGGAAATTTTTCATATGATTACAAAAATGTATCTATTAAAATGTGTTATGGTCATTATGTCATGATTGCATTTGGCCTGTCTTAAACTGTATCAAGGAACACTAAACAAGCAAGGACACTGATGTGTTGGTTGTCCCTTAGCACAAAATCTAGCTAAGTTCTGCAGAACCAGCACATCTGTCTGTTCATTTCGACTGTTCCTAATCTCCAAAAAGACCAGCAAGTCCGACATGATGCATGGCTCTAACTAGTTCTCTTTCCTTGTTTTCTTTCTTAACGTGCAAAGTCCAAGCAGGCCAATGAGCTCAGCTTCCACAGTTGATAGTAACTAGTTAGATGCTGTGATTTGGGCCCACAAGCTCATGATTTCAATCACACACATACAACAGTACTCTGACATGATGCATTTAGCACTAACCATTCTCAGACACACAGACTTCTAGCAGCAGGTATGCTAGCAATAAGAATGATTGATACTGAAGGGAAAGACTTGCTTCTAACGTCTCTTTCCCAGAGCACATAGGAAAGGCTAAAAATGTAGAAGGCTCTAGTATTTGGCAATATCATCAAGAGCTACAAAAACCCAACATTTGGAAGCATGCTTTTATTCAGTCACCAGTGACAGTTCTACAGTAATACACTCACGCTCACTCTCCCGCCAGTTCGCTGCCCTTCCATCACTTCATAAATTATTTTATCACAAAATGAATACATCAGGAAAGCTGGGAATGAACCCTCACGCCACCAAACAATAATACAAAGTGTGGGCTCTGACTGGTTGCTGACAGTGATGCCATTATTTGTGAATTCTGAGTGTTCTGTTAGAGGTTAGTGAAATAATTCATAAGAAATGAGGCACTGCATTGCAGATCTGGTCATTCCCAAGCCTGATTTGTCTTCTTACGGAATTCATGTGTTTGCTAAGTGACTTCTCATGTTAACACTGGTGGGAGATATACTCACGTCAATGTTGTTCAGCGTGTTGAAGTACATGAGATCATGTAGCCTTTTGAAGGCTTGATTTGGATACTGAAAGTTGAAGGTTGAAAATGGCGACTCAGGGTCATCAAAAATGTCAAAGTCAGCTATTTCTTTCTCCTCTTTGGTTTCCCTTGGAACACCTATATGCCAAAA